ATATATTGCATTTGAGAAAGTGATTCAACGCTAACCGTCATTTAAATATATTGTTACAAAGTAATTTTTATTAATTATTATCTAAATGCTTCAAAAATTTATTTTTGGCATAGTGGTTCTTAATTTCAAATGAGTGTATATAAATTTAAGGCTGCATTAAAGAGAAATATTTACAAGTACCTTTTAATATATTTTCTTAAATATATTTTTAATAATTAACTAAAAATTATCAAAACTAGTTTAACAAGTGTACGTATGTAATACATTGATCTTATTTTGCAATAAATATACATATAATTAAATAATAAAATTTAATTATATTAGGGGCAAGCTTTTATTCATAATGTAATTTTAAATACTAATTTAATGCAACATCTAAAAAAATTTGATGTATTAGGGTGGGTTGGTTTTTTCTTTTTCTTTTTTACTTCTTCAATCTTTATTACATTCCACGCTTGACATAATTACCCTCACAGATTGAAGTTAATTAGTGATGATATTTTCTAAAGAAACTAGTCAAAGACGTGCAGTTGAAGCTAATAAAGTAGTCCTAATTCAACATCATAACTGAAAAGTAAAATATCTTAATGAAAAGGCTGATTTTTGCACAACTTAACCAACCACAGAGGTAAGAACTTAGTAATAAAAGGGTAAGAAGTGAGTGCATTGGTCTCTATCTTGGGGCTGAATGGGTCAAATCAGTTATGATCATGGATTAGGTGATGCCTTCTTTCTATCCATTCTAATAAATAATAATCAATCATTTTTCATCACTTATTGCTAAGTATTATCTATTAAAATTAGTATGTCCAACTACCACGATGAGACTCAATTTATGTGCATTAATAATTTTTAGTCAAATATCTTCATAAAATGTCCAAATTTGTTTTAGATGTATGAACTTTTAACGTGTGTTGAAATATGTATAATAAAAATAACATTTTTATTAAAAATTATAATATTTAATAATTTTAATATTAATATCAATATAATTCATGAAAATGATCGTCATTGAAATACACGACATATTTTCTCATGGTCATGATGTATAAATGCACGGTTACGTGGCGACGTGTCCATAAAGTATATATGTTATTCCTATGTATGCTAGTTATTTATTTCTTTGTTTCTTCATATAACTAAAACTTGCTTTTTATTCTTATCTTATCAGTGATGCATGCTAGTTATTTTATAGCATGAATGGAAGCCATTATAATAATTTTTATTTTTATTTTTGTAATTTTAACCTATTTTTCAACTTGAATTCTACCTCTTCCTTAACCAATTGATCTAAAATTATTATCCTTTCCAAATATGTCTGGTGTTCATATGCTTCGAAAAAATTGATGATGTCATAACTTAAAAAATGACTAAATGTTTATAATTTAATGATTTGATGCAATTACTTGAAAAATAACTAACAAAATTATGACTAATAAAATTGTGAAGTGTTAAAAAATATATAATTATTATTTTTTATTTCTCATTCAGTTTGATCTGGAATTTAGTAAATAAAAACATATAATATTTAAAGCAAGTAACATCTTAAATGATATTATTTGAAAGTCAAATATGGTAACCTTTCACAAAGTATGCTACATTTTTGGAACCTTTTATTTTGCCAAAAATTGACTAATGAATTAGTAATTGTCCCAATTAATCTTTCTTCTAAGTGGTCACATCTCCTTCTTAAAGACTGAATTCAATAAAGTTTGAAACACAATCATATATATTGTAATTGTTCTCACTTTGTAATAAAATTGACGCCAAGATAAAATTTATACTTAAAGCATTATATAGAAGTAAAGGGAAAGCATTGAATGCAATGTAAAACTACGTGTTCTTCAATTCTAAGTTGCAGCCAATTCAATGGATGGCAGACTTGGCAGTGCATCTTCGCAAGCTTTGAGTGGGGGCCTGAGCGCTTTATATTATTTTAAAAATAAAATTTAAGTCTCATTTATTTTAACAAAAAATAGCATTATGTTTATATTATTTTATATTTTCATTGTTATTTGTTTAACTTATTTTCCATTTTTATATAAATAAATTAATAATACACTTAAAAGTTAAAAGAAACATTGTTTTATTTTAAAATTTTAGTATTCAGGCTTTAATATATTTTGTTTTCCTATACATATTGTTAGCTTTTATATTTTAGGTTCTGTAAAAGAAATTGTTACTATTTAGTTTTTAACATTTTAAAAGAGTAAAAAAAATCAGTTCTTGCTATAAATTACATGTTAATTTTTTTTTATCGACTAATTGTTTACTCTTTTAAATTTTAGAAATTAAATATTAGCAATTATTTCATAGAAATTAATGATAAAAAAACAATATTTTTAGAAATAAAACCCTGTTTAAACCTAGTACATGAAGAAATTAACATTTTTTCTTAAAATTTTTGTCAAGCAACTTACAAAGAGTGAAATGTTGATTAATTTTAATGGCAGATATTTTATATAATAAAAAAAAGTATTTACTGTATTGAATACGCTATGTAAATTATACTAAAATATTAAAAAATATTTATATTTTCTTTAAATATATCACTAACTCTATTACTTTCAAGATTAATTTTAAAGGCAGATATTTTATATAATAAAAAAATTATCCATAAAATTGCAAACCTAATTAATCGGTGATGATAGAAACTGTTAATTGATTTATCCCAAAATTTTAGTTAATTAAACGATAAATTATGTAATTTAGTAACTTCTTTTATTAAACCTTATCAGAAACCTTATCTGAGATCAAGTCACAAGCTATATGTTTATAGCCTTTTTATATCGTTGCATGATCTGCATATTCAAGTGGATCAAGTGAGGATGAAACTAAATAGAGGATTAAACTTATTGAATTCTTAGAATTTAAAGTAGACATTGAATTCTTATTCGGTATGACAATAATATTAAAAAAAAATTATGATTTTTCTTGTTAAATTTTTTTGAAAAGTTTTTGTAAAAAAAAAAAAATAATATAAAAATAAATATTTTTTTTTATGAGTTAGAAACAACTAATACTTTTTTATTTTGGTAGAAATTTTGAAAATTTCTCTCATTTAACTTTTTTAAAATATAAGTTATTTTTTAACTTTAAAACAATTATTATTTTTTATACTAATTTTTTTTGGACTTCTCTATAAGTTCATATAAACATAACTTATATCAATTACGATGTCAAATAAAAACTTATTATTTGCAAAGTAAAATATACTGTCACTCTCTTTAATAATTTGTTATGTGTATTTTTAATATTAAACTTGATTGAGTATAATGTATAAATTATATTCTTTTTTATTGTAATAATTTTATTTTTAATTTATATATTTATAAATTTCATTTTAATTTGTAGATATTAAACTTATTACTTAATTTTACTTTATTATCTAATATAATTTTTTTTTTATTTTTCACAAATATCTATTTTTATATTTATAAAAAATATCTTTTAAAAGTCTTATATCTTAAATTTATGGTTATATATATATTGATTATTAATATTTAATTATTTTTTACATTATACAATAAAACATTATTTTAAAATAAATTAATTTAATTATCATTTTGATATCATACTTATAGAATTAAAATAAAATAATTTCTAAGGAAATTTATTATTTAAAATAATTTTATTATATATATATATAATTATTTACAAAAATATAAATTATCTATATTCTAAAATAAAATATCTATAGATCGTACAAATTACTAAATTAGTTATATATTTTTTGCTATTTAAATTAGTTATATTTTCAAATAAAAAGAGAGAGAACATATACATATATATAAAAGAAAATATTCAATAAACATTTATTTGGATGTATACACTTCAAAGAAACAAAAAAAAAATTGTTATATGTAATATCTCTATTTACAAGGATTTCAACCCAAAACTACAATTTATAACTTTTTAGGTTTTAATCATCTCATGTTATTGAATAATATATATAGTTATGCTTGTAAATATATAATTTTTATTATATACATAATTAAAGATACCTATATACAACTTATCACGATGGATTTTATTTAACAATATTAATATGCTTTTTGTTTCTCTTCAAGAAGATCATGTCATGTATTCAATAATATGAGATTTGTTTTTCCATTTTGATTTGTAAGATAAAACTTATCTATTAATATAAGGGGCTGTCTAGTTTTAAAAATATTTTATTTAGTTTTTTAATTATAAAATGATTGTCTTGTTTTTATTTTGTTTATTTGTTTTGCTTATTTTTAATGATTTATACTTTAATATTTTTCTGTACAAATATTTAAAAATAGATAACAAAATAATTTTTTAAATCAAGAGTGAAAAAATTATAAAAATACAAAACTATTGAAATCAAATAATTTATAAATAGGTGAAGGTTATAGAGATTTTTAACCGTTTTGTTTTGTTCCTTGAAAGTTTAGATTCGACTCGTCTTAACGTACGTAAAAAAAAAAAACACACACAGACTAATATCAGATAATTTTGCAAATGTTACAATCATTATTCAACGTCCTAATGATATAGAATGAAAGCGTCTTTCTTTTCTAAGCTCATGCTTTTATTTGTCCACATCAATTTACGTTCTTTAATTATTTTCTTGATTCTTTTGGCCAAGCATGCCATGTTGTCGCCATTCATCACCTACAATTTTTTATATTATATATTAATCTTTTAATTTAATGGAAAATATTTAAAATAATATCATATTACATTTACATTATTTATTTATAAATATATAATTGAAAATATATCGTAATTTTCATTTTCTATTTCTTTAAGTTTATGTTTTTTTTTTATATAACTTTTAGAATGATATATCATATTGATAAATTGAATTTACTTGATCTTGATCCACATAAACAGCGAACTCGTTTCGTGAACACCTATAATAAATATAACTCACGGAACAGTACACAATATTTAGGGTATCATAATTAAAAAATAATATTTATTGATTAAAAATATATTAAAATTATGAAAGTAAATATAAATAGAGAAAAAAAGTTTATAATTTTTTAATCGACGTAGAATAACATTTTCGTGACTTTAAATTGAAAATTCCGCAAGACTTTAATAAATTGGGTACAGAGTTTGACAAGTACCCGTCTTTCCCACCAAAGCAAGGTCATAAATACACGCGCAGAGTAATAAATAAAAGCAAATTATTCTGCAACGTGCAAAGCCATTACAACTTGTTGTAGTTTGACAAACACAGGATTCAGCCCCGAATGTATCATGAAATAACAAACCACCAAACACAATGGACCAAATCTATCGAATGTCTTATCATTCATTTTTCACTCTCTTTGTGGATGATATGGAGAGTGCAGACATCATCAATGAAATCCCTTTCTAATTCAATAGCAACAAAAAGAGAACATATACAAAGTTGAAGATCAGATCAAGGTTTAATATTGCAGTCGCAACAGCAATTGCAGCTTCGATATCCAGATTTTGTATGTTCAAACTTCATTTATAACACAATAAAATTCACCAAAAATCCCCTAGTCTAAATTTTGGACTAAAAAGAATCACAAGTGGTGTTTTCTTCTCACCGTAACCAGTGTGCGAAACATTCAGACGAGTTATCTGGATTATGAACGCTCCATAGACCCAATTCTTCTACTGATATGATGCATGCCAGCATTGAACCCCAAGCACCCCAACAAGCCCTGTTTATAAGGCAAAAAGGTCTTCTTCTTTAACTCCTCAGAAGCAGCCCGGTTCACGGTGTAATGCAATTCGTGAGCCGAAACCGGTCCTCTCCTTCTTGAAATTGAACCGGCACTCTCGGTGGACCGGAAACTCACGTTCCTGACATCCTCGTGCGCTGTCGTTTTGGACAGAACCGCATACTTCCTTAGAGGATCTCTGTCCGTGGCTCTTCCCTCTGAGGCACTTCGAAACAGTAGAAAATCCTTTATCCTCCATTTTCTATACCCTTTTGTAAACGAAATGGACGACAAAAGGGAAGAATGAGTAGTTGAAGCAGTTTCAGAGGGTCTGGTGTTGGTGTTGCTCCTTTGAGAAAAAAAATCATCGGACTCACACACACTACTGTTACTGTTTCTACCTCCTTTGCGACCAGAGGGAATCGAAAAGGAAGAAGCTCTTCCTCTTTGTGGGTTGTGTTGTTGTTGGGGTGGTGGTGATGGTGGTGGTGGAGCTTTGTTTGGAGTTGAAACAAGTGAAGGGGGCTTCAAAGGTCGAATTTTTCCACCATGGAAGAGTTCATCAGCGGAAAGAGAGGGTCTTTGGAGGTGGCCACTGAAGTCGAATTCGAAATCATCTTCATGAGAATCGTTGCTGGGTTGAGGAACGGTGGAAGTAGAAGCAGAGGAGTGGCGAGGATTGAAGTTGAAGAGAGAGGAATTATTAGAGGTGCGAATGGGGCTTGTTGGAGCGCTGAAAAAGAAGTTGCCAAAGCGTTGAGGACTTGAAGGAGCGGTGATGTATGGAGAGGAACAGTTACTGTCGAAGTTGAAATCCATGGTAGAAGGAGGCACTGCCACCACCACTTCCATGTCTTGTTCTGTTCCCAAAAATCGCTGTTTGGGGAAATATGTGGCCTTGGCAGTTTGGGTTATAAATATATATACGAATAAAGGGAAACAGAGATAGAGATTGAGACTGCAGGGTAAGTCTAAAAGGAAGGAGAGGGGAAAGCCCAGAATTGAAGATTTTTGTAGTTTTAAAATATAAACTGTCCTTAATTGTTTGCTAAAAAGATAATGACGTGGACATAAAAAAATATTAAAGATGTATTAAAACGTTTTTGGATGATAATATGCAAAATATAAGACTGATTAAAATTAAACAATTTCAATCTGGGAAAAGAGGTAAAGGCACGAAGGGAATTCTAAACCATTTTCTTTTCTTGTTCCGGCTACGAATAAATTTGGATGTGGCTTGATATATCGCCAATACATCAGTAATTGGGTATATTTCAATTGTTTTGGTCAACACAAAACAGTATTCCAGAAGAAAGCTGTTGGAGCAATTATTATTTTATTATTAAGGATTCAATCAATTGATGTTGGCTTATTTAAATTGATATATGACTCTGTTTGGTTTCAATCCGGAAAAACGGTGACAGGGGATCTAGAAGATGAGAAAATTTGAGGAGAAGAAAATCAAGAGAGAAGGCAGCTTTTCATTTCATTTTTTAAAATTATAAGTATATTTTATAAATAGAATAACTCTACTCAATGAAAAAATATTTATATCATAGTTAGGTTAATTTTTTTATACACAAAGTTTGAGCCTGGCACTTTATTTAAGGAGAATTAAGTATGCATTAGTTAAATTCGTTGATTTATATTACCTTATTTGAGTAGGAAAAGAAAAGAACTAAGATAAAGGATTGATAAAACTATTTATGAATCTTTTATTAAAAATTAAAATATAAAGTAAATTAATGAAGATAACGACAAACTAATTGATTTTTATGTAAATGTGTGTTCATTTTACAACACCATATAGTTTCAGATATTCTATTCTATTCAAATTTTAATGAAATTACCGTTGAAATAAAAGAGATTCATGCTGCAAAAAGGGGGGGAAATGAAGATGTAAGTGAAAGAGAAGGAAATGCTTTTTGCTTGTCTCGTTGTTGATAAAGGAAGAAAATAAAGATGCAAGAGAAAAGAGAAAGGAAATGCTTTTGCTTGGTTCTTAGATATATTATGGCAGTTAGGTTACCGTTTTGTCTATCCAGTTTTCTTTCTGCTTTTGTTGGTTAAATTTTCTTTATGTTCAGATTATACACAACGTTTGATCTTAAGAGGAATTTTGTTGACAATGGTTGCTTGAAAGCAATGAACATGTTTAACTGATGGTTTTGTTAAAATTGTGCATGTTTCTTTTAATTTTGACTAATTAAATAAAATTTAATATTTGTTATTCTAATTTTTTTAACAGTCATCCATGCATATATATGTGTGTTTTTTTTTTATAGATAATATATGTTAAAATTTGAAAAGTACAAAGATTATAATAATAAAATTGCCATTATTTTATTTAAACTATAAATTATTATTGACAATGATTTAAATTGAGAGAAAAAAATTTGAAAATTTAAAAGAGATCACTACATATTAAACAAACTTTGGTCTAAATTCAAATTTTCTGTCACCTTTGTTTATAAAGCACTGTATTTTCGTAATAACTTATTACAGAAATACAAGTTAATGGAATGGAGAATAAATTAAAAATGTAAAAAACATATATTTAATAGAATTTGTAGTTGTAAAATTAGTTATTAAATATATATATATATATATATAATATACATAAACAATTTTTAATAAATATTTTATTTTACAATAAAAATATATTTTAATTAATTATAGTTTTAGATTTTTAATTTAAGAAGAAATTTTAACATTTGGTAAATCAAAATTTTATTACAAATCAAAATAATAGTTCAAATAATATAATATTTAAAATTAATAGTGAAATATTTAAGGAATATGTAATGAGGATCGCTTAAATTTAAAAATAAAAATAAAAAATTGAACATACTAAGTGCACATTTTCAAATTTGAGAAATGTTAAGTACTCTACCTATTTATTTATTTATTATTATTAATTCAAGAGACATATCTCATATTGAGGTTACGTTTAGTAAAAATAATTGATAAGGTAATTGAAAATTAAAAAAAAAAAACTTAAAATTGTTAAACCATTTTTTTGAATTAAATTTTTTTGATAAATTAATATTTTTAATTAGGTTATAAATATAAATAATATAAAAATATTTTTTTTTTACTTTTTTTTTGTAGAATTTTTAATATTTTAGTCGATTTTTTATTTACAATTGTAGGTACTTTAGTTACATTTGGTCTCTTATCATTTTCTGAAAATCAAATATTTAATGCAAATAAAAATTATGTAAAAAAAGTTTAATATCGTTAAAGCGGATAGTAAACAACGGTTTTTATTGAAACGATGAAAGTAAAAATTAAAAAAATAACAGTAATTTATAAGTCGTTAAATATAGTATTGGAAAATTATTATGTTAATAAAATAAACAAATTTATAATAGAAAAAAAATTTATCAAAAATATTTGTTTTCAAATAAATGTGTTAGTCAAAATGTTATAAAGTAACTGAAATGAACTGCCAAATGCATTTTAAGCATTACATTTTATTTCTTTTTCATATTTTTCCAATAATATTATTTAAATTTAATTAATATTATTTTAAAATTTTACATATTATATATCAAATTGATAAACGTAAAAATTATATATTTTCATTTAAATAATTTATTTTCATAGTTTTCTGACTTTTCTCTTCGGCTTCAATTTTTTTTCTTTAATATATTCCAATAAAATAAATTTTTATTGGACACATTCACAATCATAATCGAGTATATTAGACTTTTGTTTAATCTTTCCACCTGAACAGTGAAACGCATTTCAATTTTTAAATCACTTTTATTGGTCTCGTGTGAAAATAAGTTGTATAATTTTTTACGTCGTTTCAAAACCACACATTACACATTATCTTGTATTAATTGCATGAATTGAATAAAAATACACTTGTACATTTTACTGGGTTAGAATTAGATGATGAATTTAAAACACTTTATGCAATATCTAATACAATGTCAACTAGCCATATTGTTATTTGTTGACTAATGAGGCAATATGCATTTCATTTAATTTTTTTATTAAGAATTTTGTATGAGTATTTTCATGATAATCATGTTTGAGGCCATTGATCTTGAAAGCCAAATAGTATTTGAATTCAAAGTTTTATATGCCACTCAAACCACTGGAAAACATTAACACAGTTAAACGGTCCATTATACATTCATGTTGAGGCTAGCTTATTACACACCGTCCAAACCTTGCATGTTAGAAAAGTTACCATTAAAGTTTATTTAAAAAAAAATTTGATTTTTTTTTTAAATAATGCAATTCTTGAAACCAAACATAAGTTTAGAAGTTGTTTAAAATATTAATACTCTACAATATCTGTCTAAATAATAGACACTTTGAACTCCATTATTTATAATTGACGGTGACATGATAATTTCCAACACAGAATATCGATTATTATATTCAATTTTTAAAATTAATTTTCATAAAAAATTTGTTAACTTTTTATTTTTAATAAAGACTACTTTATTCTTTTAAAATATTAAAAATGCAATACTAATTAAATTTTTATAGAGACTAATTAAAATTGTATATTATAATTTTAATAATGAATAATTTAATATGAAATTTTTAAAAAGGAAAATAATTTAAAATAAACTAAATTTTGTAAAATATACTTACTTTAAATAAAAATAAAGATAAAATTTAAGTGCTGAATTTTATTAGTATTTTCTTTTATTAATGTTTATTTCAATAATTGGCAAAGTGAAACATAAAAAATACTCAAAATATTTCACTTAAGTTTATTGTAAAACAAAATCTAACAAATCCTAATCCCATATCTACGTTATTCTCTTCCAATTTCACTGTTTGTCAAGAAGTTGTTCAGTCTTTCAACGAAGATAAGATAATATTGAATACGAGATAAAAAAAAATAATTCTTTTTAAATGACGATATACATTTGAAAGAATAAAATATAATTATGAGTATTGATTAAAAATGATTATTGTAATAAATATGTATTTATATTTTAGTCACTAGTATCAATGATGATTATACCTGTAATTTATTTTCTAAAATAACGAGCACGTTCTACAGAAGTTAGTACTACGTTGTTTTCAAAACCTGTTTATGTTTGGCTATGGGTAAGAAGGTCTCACAAGTCAAAATAGCAATTTATAATTGATAAGAGAAAGAAATAAAAGAAGAAAAAAAATTTAGAGTATGTTTGATTTCACTTTTAAAAAGATTTTTTTATTTTTATTTTTTAAAATATAGTATAAATTTTAAGCACGAGATTCACGCATTTACAAACAACGGCAGAACCTTACCATCCTAATACTTGGACTGGTTGAGTGATTGTATTATAATAATTAATTTATATTTATATTTGAGTCTTTAATTTTGATGAATCATAATAAAAAAAATCCTTTTAAATTTGTCTTAATTATAGATTTGAATATTTTAAAAATTTTGTTTTGTGATTTGAAAAATTTATTTAGTTAATCCTGTTTAAAATAATAAAAAATTTATTCTTTTTAAACTTAATCATTTTAAAACTCACGCATTACATTCTTATTTTTAATTTAAAAATATGTCTTCAGTTATAAATACAATCATTGTCAAGAACTATTTTTTAAAAAAATATTCTTAGTAATTATCCTCTTCCTCGTTAGGTAATGTTACTTTTTATAGCTTTAACATGATTGTATATTTTTAAATGTGTGATATTAATATATTATATTTATTATAATCTCAATCAATCTTAAATTAAACTTGATTTCAAAATTTTAATATGGTATTTTGATTTTTATAATTTTCTCTTTATTTATTGTTATTTAATATAGTACAATATTATTTGCTAATAATAAAAATACGTATTAGTTTATTTAATATTTTTGTTTATAGTTTTTTATATTAAAGAAAATAAGTGTACCATGGTGAAAAAGATTTTATTTATTAATTTCTTAAGCTTAACTGAATTTAAAATATGTGTAAAAAATCTAGATCTTTGATGATAATATAAATTTGTTATCTAATAAAGATTGCACAGCTATTAAATTATAATCTTTATCTCAAATTCGGATTCATTTACTTGAATTATATTTTAACGTTATCTTTATATAAATAAGTTAAATATAGGGACAGGATTTTTTACATTTAAAAATTCTTACAAGATATTTTTCCATGTATATATATATAATACGAACGCAGATCATAAGTGAAACCGTTGGTTTTGATTTTAGACAAACTTAACTTTGGAGTTTTGCGAGATGAAGAACGATGAGCTCTGGGCGAACCTTCACTCTGATCTGTTGAATCAAATTGTTAAGTACATACATTCGTACGAGGATTACGCTCGACTTCGTCTTGTTTGTAAATCGTGGAGTTCAACACTTGCAAAGACTCCGGAGCACAAATATCCATGGCTAGTGTTGTTACCTTCAGAAAATTCTATTGAAACTTATGGTCCAAGAGAGAAAGAGATTAATCAAATGAGATTGCCGCAGATGCAGAACCACTTGTTTCGTGGGTCTTGTTGTGGATTCCTAGTGATCCTTGGTTTATCTGATGGAGCATTGAAGCTATGGAATCCATTTACAAAGGTTAGCTTTGATCTTCCTCCAATTTCAACTTTGCCAAATATAGTTTATTTAGTTGATTATTTTCCTGAATATATTGCGCCGTTGTGGAATGCCTCAACTGCAACTATAGAGCGAATTCATATTCACATGAATAGGCCACCGGTCCACAAGATAATTATTTCTTCCCCTCCGGATAGTGACACACATGAGTTCATGGCAGTAGTTATATACGGAGAATATTCTAGATTGGGTTTCTATAGATGTGGTGATGTTGGTTGGACAGATATACCCACGTCGAAAGCACATAGGTGTGAATTTGAAGATGTTATTTTTAACGAAGGAAAGATATATGCAGTGGATTGGAACGCTCAACTTTATGAATTTGATATGCATACGAAACCTGTACCTCTAGGAGGAGCTACTAAAGCCAAACCTCCAATCAGAGTTCCACAATCTGGTGACCCTTATGATTGGACCTTCAAGTATCTGGCTGTACATGGTAATGGCAGCTTGTTAATGGTGGTGAGGCATTATGTCTGTCCTCGTGGTGGTGTGTATCGGACTAATACATTCAGCGTCTATATGTTGACCAATAGGGAACTTGTGTGGTCCAGAGTGTATAATATAGGGAACTATGCGTTAGTGCTTGGATTAAATTCATCTATCTCTATGCCTTGTGCTGCTTCTTATACCAAACCAAATCATATTTACTATACCGACAACCTATTTGAACAACATTATGTCAGCGACGAAGAAGACGAACTTTATGCAGACGACGACGAAGAACATAATTATGGAAGAGGCGTAGAAGGCTTCCACTCAGATGTTGTCGGTAGTGTTGGTGGTCACGATATAGGTGTGTTTGATTTGGAAGGCGGTGGCAATAATTATCTTTTTCCGGCTGCACTACTCTCTGCTCCAGTTTGGTTGTGCTGATCATTTTTATTTTTAAGTTATTTTACTTTGTGCGGATAAAAGCATGGTGAGAGATTATTTGCTATGTTATTTATTTCTCCAATTAATATCTATTTCTATTATGTTTATTGAATAAATTATTGTTTGTTTATTTTGCTTTTTACTATTTGCAAAGTTTGGACACTACCAATTAGACATGTATGATCTTGATCGTTTTACAAATAAATAATTTTTAATTTTGAAAAAAAAATAGAATAAAACAGATATACTTACACCAACTGTTTTTCTTTGTACGCCTTCCAATATTTTAAACTATAATATTTTTGATTAATTGAAGGTACAGAAATTTTTATATTTTAATTTCATTAACACTACACCTAATAAATTATTAAAAGTAAAACTTGAACTGCGATAGACAAATTACCAAAATATATTACCCGGATTTCAGACTGTTAGTATATTTTAAAAACGTAGTTTTATATCATTTTAAATTTCAATTCATTTTGGTACAAGTTAGTTTTGTTAAAATTATATTTTATTTTTTAATATAAAGAGTTTAAATATATTAATGTAATTTAAATATAATACGAAACAGAAACAGAAAAGAACAACTAACCGAAACAGAAAACTAACAGACAAAAATTTTAAAAAAATAATTATATAAAAGGATTTTTTTAGCAGGATAGGCTTAGCGGGAAGAGGCCAGATACATCAAAGGAGGAGCCAGAAGAGGCCACGTATAGCAAAAGAGAAGCGGGAGATATTTCTCTTTTTGAAAACACCTCTCTTTATTTTGTAAAAGGCCACATACAGCAAAAAGAGAAGCGGGAAGAAGAGGAAACACCTCTCTTTTTTAAAACACATCTCTTCTTGAAAAAATTGCTAACTTCTGCGATCAAATATCTTTTTTTTTCTTTTACTCTGTTAAATTACAACCCATAAAAGATTATAAAAAGGCAAGAAAAGTGGGAAGAAGAAACACCTCTCTTTATGAAAAAGTTGTCAACTGTAATCAAATATCTTTCTTTTAGAGAAAAAGTTGTCAACTTCTGCAATCAAATATATTTCTTTTACTCTTTATCAAGCTGTTAAACTACAACCCACAAAAGATTGTAAAAGGCAAGAGCAGTGGGTTAGGAATATCACGATTAGTCCACTGATAGAGAAAGAGCCCCTGTCTTTGGCGCTTAGTCTTCAAGTTTTTCTTCAATGTCAATTGTAACTAACTTACTCCAATGCCACCTCGTTCCTATCTTATTTTGACAATACCGGAACATCCTCTGCGCCGTGTCAAACTTTCTTAATCTAGCTGAGAGCTTTACCCGACTATAAAATAAAGGCTGCAACAGAAGCATCTCCGAACCGCTCACTTTGACTCAAGTGACTTTCGTTCCTATCCGTTAATGAACTTGCATCAGTATCTCAATTTCAATTCAAACATGGGTTTGATTCACACTCCATGTTCTGAGAAATATTTACCATCCGAAAAGAGGAAAAAACGGAGTCCTTGTCCAAAAAAATGCCTTGAGAAAGGGTAGATGTATAGAACCTTTCAACGAGATAGTACTTTTTCAACTCTTTCAAAATGGAATCTATTCCAAACATATATACCATGGTTCCTTACCTCGACAGGATACAAATATATAAATTTCATATTTTTAGATACTTTTTCAGACTTATTGCCGATACTAAGTAGCAGCCAAAAATTTGTATCCATTTTTCATGATATTATGCATGGATCAGATATATCATGGCGAATTCTTCAGATTCCATTGTGTTTTTCACAATGCAATATGATAAGTAAGATATGAAATCTGATAAGTGAGATTCCGAGTAATTGTTTACATAATCTTTTTCTATCTGAAGAAATTTTTCATCGAAATAATGAATCACTATTGATATCGACACATCTGAGATCGCTAAATGTTCGGGAGTTCCTCTATTCAATCCTTTTCCTTCTTCTTGTTGCTGGATATCTTGTTCATACACATCTTCTCTTTGTTTCTCGAGTCTATAGTGAGTTACAGACAGAGTTTGAAAAGGTCAAATCTTTGATGATTTCATCATACATGATTGAGTTGCGAAAACTTCTAGATAGGTATCCCACATCTGAACTGAATTCTTTCTGGTTAAAGAATCTCTTTCTAGTTGCTCTGGAACAATTAGGAGATTCTCTAGAAGAAATACGGGGTTCTGCTTCTGGTGGCCCCATGCTATGGGGTGGTGGTCCCGCTTATGGGGTCAAATCAATACGTTCTAAGAAGAAATATTGGAATCTCATCGATCTCATAAGTATCATACCAAATCCCATCAATCGAATCGCTTTTTCAAGAAATACGAGACATGTAAGTCAAACAAGTAAAGCGATCTATTCCTTGATAAGAAAAATAAAAAACATGAATGGTGATTGGATTGATGATAAAATAGAATCCTGAGTCTCGAACAGTGATTCGATTGATGATAAAGAAAGAGAATTCTTGGTTCAGTTCTCTACCTTAACGACAGAAACAAGGATTGATCAAATTCTATTGAGTCTGACTCATAGTGATCATTTATCAAAGAATAACTCTGGTTATCAAATGATTGAACAACCGGGAGTAATTTACTTACGATACTTGGTTGACATTCATAAAAAGTATCTAATGCATTATGAGTTCAATACATCCTGTTTAGCAGAAAGACAGATATTCCTTGCTCATTATCAGACAATTACTTATTCACAAACCCTGTAGGGGGCTAATAGTTTTCATTTCCCATCTCATGGAAAACCCTTTTCACTCCACTTAGCCCTACCCCCCTAGGGGTATTTGAGTGATAGGTTCTATAGGAACTGGACGATTCTATTTGGTCAAATACCTAGCGACAAACTCCTATGTTCCTTTCATTACAGTATTTCTGAAAGTTCCTGGATAACAAGCCTAAGGGTTTTCTTATTGATGATAGTGACGATAGTGACGATATTGATGATAGTGACGATATCGACCGTGACCTTGATATGGAGCTGGAGCTTCTAACTATGATGAATACGCTAACTATGGATATGATGCTGGAAATAGACCGATTTTATATCACCTTTCAATTCGAATTAGCAAAAGCAATGTCTCCTTGCATAATATGGATTCCAAACATTCATGATCTGGATGTGAATGAATCGAATTACTTATCCCTCGATCTATTAGTGAACTATCTCTCTAGGGATTGTGAAAGATGTTCCACTAGAAATATTGTTGTTATTGCTTCGACTCATATTCCATAAAAAGTAGATCCCGGTCTAATAGCTCTGAATAAATTAAATATATGCATTAAGATACGAAGGCTTCTTATTCCACAACAACGAAAGCACTTTTTCACTCTTTCATATACTAAGGGATTTCACTTGGAAAAGAAAATGTTCCATACTAATGGATTCGGGTCCATAACCATAACTATGGGTTCCAATATACGAGATCTTGTAGCACTTACTAATGAGGCCTTATCGATTAGTATTATACAAAAAAAATCCATCCTAGACACTAATATAATTATATCTGCTCTTCATAGACAAACTTGGGGATTTGCGATCTCAAGTAAGATCGGTTCAAGATCATGGGATCCTTTTCTATCAGATAGGAAGGGCTGTTTCACAAAATGTACTTCTAAGTAATTGCTCCATAGATCCTATATTTATCTATATGAAGAAGAAATCATGTAATGAGGGGGATTCTTATTTGTACAAATGGTACTTCGAACTTGGAAGGAGCATGAAGAAATTAACGATACTTCTTTATCTTTTGAGTTGTTGTGTCGGATCGGTCGCTCAAGACCTTTGGTCTCTACCCGGACCTGATGAAAAAAATGGGATCACTTCTTATGGACTCGTTGAGAATAATTCTGATCTAGTTCATGACCTATTAGAAGTAGAAGGCGCTCTGGTGGGATCCTCACGGACAGAAAAAAATTGCAGTTAGTTTGATAATGATCGAGTGACATTGCTTCTTCGGTCCGAACCAAGGAATCCCTTTAATATGATTCAAAATGGATCTTGTTCTATCGTTGATCAGAGATTTCCCCATGAAAAATATGAATCAGAGTTTGAAGAAAGGGGATGAGTCCTCGACCCATAACAGATAGAGGAGGATTTTTTCAATCACATAGTTTGGGCTCCTAGAATATGGCGCCCTTGGGGCTTTCTATTTGATTGTATCGAAAGGCCCAATGAATTGGGATTTCCCTATTGGGCCAGGTCATTTCGGGGCAAGCAGATCATTTATGATGAAGAGGATGAGCTTCAAGAAAATGATTCAAAGTTCTTACAGGGTGGAACCATGCAGTACTAGACACGAGATAAATCTTCCAAAGAACAAGGCTTTTTTCGAATAAGCCAATTCATTTGGGACCCTGCGGATCCACTCTTTTTCCTATTCAAAGATCAGCATTTTGTCTCTGTATTTTCACATCGAGAATTCTTTGTAGATGAAGAGATGTCAAGGGGGCTTCTTACTTCCCAAACAAATCTTCCTACATCTATATATAAACGCTGGTTTCTTAAGAATACGCAAGAAAAGCATTTTGAATTGTTGATTCATTGCAAGAGATGGCTTAGAACCAATAGTTCATTATCTAATTGATTTTTCTGTTCTAATACTCTATCTGAGAATTATCAATATTTATCAAATTTGTTCCTATCTAACGGAATGCTATTGGATCAAATGACAAAGATATTGTTGAGAAAAAGATAGCTTTTCCCGGATGAGATGGTTGTTGCTATCTACTCCAATAACGAATCATTGGTTTAACTGAATAACTCAAAAAAATGGATAGACCTTTCTTTCTCTTCATCTCAGGTCGATGGATCTTCTCAATTGAAAGATCCCCTATATCGATAATACACATTCCAAGTGACCGAGCCTAATTCTAATTGTTTTGTTCTGAAGCAAAGAGATCTACGGGGCGGTTTGTCCTATTCAGATATTCATAACCAAGAAGTACTGAATTCTCTTTCTTTTCGGATAGGTCCCGAAAGGAGAAGGAAGGTTTGAATG